ATTCACTCAAAATTGATAATTACAATAATTTTTAGGCGAAAAATAAGAATATTATACATTTTCGGGAAATGGGCGTAGCCACGCCCACTTATGGTTACATGTGTATATCTTGGTAACCGCTGCACCGATTTCTTCCAAACTTGGCACAGTTGTTGGCCTTGGTACAGCATACCAAATGGCCCAAAATTGAAAATGGGCAAAATCGGACAATAACCACGCCCACATCCTATATAACGGTAATTTAGAGAAATACGAAATCTTCGATAAATCAGTAAATATTAAAGCTAATTTATTCAAAATTGATGCTTGCAACAATTCTTTACCAAGAAATACGTTTATGGTAAAATTTTGGAAAATGGGCGTGGCACCGCCCACTTATGATCNATAACCACGCCCACATCCTATATAACGGTAATTTAGAGAAATACGAAATCTTCGATAAATCAGTAAATATTAAAGCTAATTTATTCAAATTGATTGATGCTTGCAACAATTGTTTACTAATAAATACATTTATGATACAATTTTTGGAAAATGGGCGTGCCGCCGCCCACTTATGATCACATATATGTATATCGGTAACCGCTCTACAATTTTTACCAAACTCGGTATGGTTATTGTGCTTGTCACATAAAAGCAAAACGTTGAAAATTTTAGAAATCGGACTAAAATTATGGCCGCTTTTCATATAACGGTAAATTTCAGAAATGCTTGAAACTTCAATATATATTTATATATACCATACTATAAGCACCTCCCATATATATGACTGCATACCAAATTTCGAGTTCATGTGACTTATGGTTCCGAAGTTATAGTCGGCACGCCCACTTTTACCAACTCATTTGTATATACCCTACTATAAGCACCTACCCTATATATGACTGCATACCAAATTTCAAGTTCATGTGACTTATAGTTCCGGAGTTATAGCTGATTAAATATTCCTTTGGGATGTGCCACGCCCACTTTTACAAACTCATTTATATATACCATACTATAAGCACCTACCCTATATATGACTGCATACCAAATTTCAAGTTCATGTGACTTATAGTTCCGGAGTTATAGCTGATTAAATATTCCTTTGGGATGTGCCACGCCCACTTTTACAAACTCGTTTATATATACCCTACTATATTGGATGTGCCACGCCCACTTTTACAAACTCATTTATATATACCATACTATAAGCACCTACCATATATATGACAGCATACCAAATTTCAGGTTCATGTGACTTATAGTTCCGGAGTTATAGCTGATAAAATATTCCTATGGGATGTGCCACGCCCACTTTTACGAACTCATTTATATATACCCTACTATAAACACCTACCATATATATGACTGAATAACAAATTTCAAGCTCATATGACTTATAGTTTCGGATTTATAGCTGATTAAATATTCCACGCCTATGGGATGTGCCACGCCCACTTTTACGAACTCATTTATATATACCCTACTATAAACACCTACCATATATATGACTGAATAACAAATTTCAAGCTCATATGACTTATAGTTTCGGATTTATAGCTGATTAAATATTCCACGCCTATTGGATGTGCCACGCCCACTCATTTATATATACCATACTATAAGCACCTACCATATATGTGACTGCATACCAAATTTCACGCCTATTGGATGTACCACGCCCACTTCTACAAACTCATTTATATTTACCCTACTATAAGCACCTACCATATATATGACTGCATACCAAATTTCAAGTTCATGTGACTTATAGTTCCGAAGTTATGGCTGATTAAAAATTTCGCGCCTATGGGAGGTGCCACGGCCCCTTGTCGAATCCCAATTTTTTCACTCTATTATAGCCCCGGTGTCATGGCAATACTCTGTCAAAATTTTTTTTCGATTCTGTCCGTCCGTTTAGGCTGCAACCTGGCGCATACATACATACATACTTCCACAAATATATAGTAGATTTCCAGAAATCGAATACCGATTATGGGTCAAATAGCTATTGCTTCAACTAGAGAAAATGCGAACTTTGAAGAAAGACTGTATAGTTGAATAAAATTTATAGCAAAGTTCAAAATGCTATCATAAATATGCGGGGAAATTTAGCTTTTATGGTTTCAATAGATTAAAAAATGCCTTCTAACAAATACAAAGGTAGAACGTTTGCAGATTTCACACCGTTGTTCGAGAGGCGAGTACGTCGGTCTATGGGAGGTGCCGCGCCTCTTTTTCCAATAGCTCCAATTCTTATTCATGACTATGCGATTGATTTTAGATATGAATGCCAAGTTCCAGCACTATACCGTGAACACTTCCAGAGATGTGTAGTATGAAAAATTCGGTTTGTATGGGAGGTGCCACGCCCCTTTTTCCAATAACCACAATTTTTCTCCATGAGTATGCGACTCTTTTCATATATCTCCATACCATGTTCGAGTACTCTACCATGAACATTTCCAGAGATATGCAATATGAAAAATTCGGTTTGTATGGGAGGTGCCACGCCCCCTGCACCTAGCGGTATGAAATATACTTTAAATCCGATTCTCGTACCTACCATATATACACAAAAAATTGCATAAAGATCGGTCGACCCGTTTAAATAGGCGGAGTTCGACAACAAACACCGTGACACGAGATTTTTATATATTAGATTATTATTAAAATCACAGTTTTCTCGAAAAGTTACAATGATGAGATTTTGTCAATGTTATTGTGGCTTATTAACATTTTATTTTATTTTATTTTTTTAAATATTTTTATTGAGCTTTGTACCACGATTGTTTATTAGGAAAAATTGAAAAAGCGGTAGAAGTTATAGCAGCTATTTCGGAGATCACAACATCTCCTCATCAGACTTCTTTTTCTCTAGACTTCAGCAGGGATCGAACTTGCGTAATCGATGTGCAAATTCAGAAGCGTTAACCACTGAGCTATGTACACCCCAATATATGATAAGATTTTAGTTTTGATGGGAGATGATTACTAAAACATCGACCTTTGATATTTTGCAACAATATTGCGGGTGGTTTTCATGTGGGATTAAAAATTTTCCTACACTACCGTGGGGTACGATATGGGTATTAAGAAATCTTTACTTTGATCATTTCCAATATTTTTGGGGTGTATTAATAGGGTTTCCAATTGAATTTAATAATTTAAATGAATTATTGTAAAATGTGTATCTATGGTAATGATTTTGAAAAAGCTGTATTTCTAAACTATATATAGGGGTAATTAGGTAATTAAAATGGGTGTCGATTAAAATGCTTTAAAAAGTTGTAGTCACGGTTACCACTTACTAATTTCTTTGTTTACCAGAACGTGTACCAAAATGCAAAAAATGTACCAAAATAGGTTTAAGCTATAGATTATTCAAATATTTTACAAATACACTTTGCCCATATACATATTTAGTTAATAAACCAATTTTCCGAGTGTTCTGTAAACTTGTTTATAATGCTGCAACATACGTATATTGTGAGACAATTTTCCGTAATCCCTTGAAATTTTTGGTTTGGAGACAAATCGGTTGTCGTACTACTTCTTCTTCTTCTTTTTTGGCGCTGTAACCGCCTTAGCGATTTTGGCCGAGTTCAGCAAAGCACGCCAGTCGTTTCTCCTCTGTGCCAACTGACGCCAATTGGAAACGTCAAGTGAAGCCAAGTCCTTCTCCACCTGATCTTTCCATCGCAGTAGGGGCCTCCCTCTTCCTCTGCTACCACCAGCGGGTTCCAAGTTGAATACTTTCAGAGCTGGAGCGTCGGTGTCCATTCGAACGACATGACCAAGCCAGCGGAGCCACTGTATTTAAATTCGCTGCACTATGTCCATATCGTTGTAAAGCTCATACAGCTCACCGTTCCATCGTCTGCGGTACTCGACGTCGCCAACGCGTAAAGGCCCGTAAATCTTTCGCAAAATCTTTCTCTCGAATACTCCAAGAGCCGCCTCATCGGATGTTGTCATTGTCCATGCTTCTGCGCCATATACCAGCACGGGCATGATGAGTGACTTATAGAGCGTGGTTTTCGTACGTCGAGAGAGGACTTTACTCCTGAATTGCCTACTCAGTCCAAAGTAGCACTTGTTGGCAAGAGTGATTCTACGTTGGATTTCAATGCTGACATTATTATCGGTGTTAATGCTGGTTCCCAAGTAAACGAAATTCTCTACTTTCTCGAAATTGTAACTGTCAACAGTGACGTGGGTGCCAAGGCGCGAATGTGCTGACTGTTTGTTTGATGACAGGAGATACTTCGTCTTGTCCTCGTTTACCACCAGACCCATGCGCTTTGCTTCCCTATCCAACTTGGAAAAGGCAGAACAGACTTCGCGGTTTTTGTTACCGATGATGTCGATGTCATCGGCATAAGCCAGCAATTGCACGCTCTTGTAGTAAATTGTTCCTGAGCGGTTCAGTTCTGCAGCTCTTATTATCTTCTCCAACATCAGATTAAAGAAGTCACATGAAAGGGAGTCGCCCTGTCTGAAACCCCGTTTTGTGGCGAACGGCTCGGAGAGGTCTTTTCCAATTCTGACGGAGCTGGTGGTATTGCTCAACGTCATTTTACACAGCCGTATGAGTTTTGAGGGGATGCCAAATTCAGACATAGCGGCGTATAGGCAACTCCTTTTAGTGCTGTCAAAAGCGGCTTTAAAGTCGACAAATAGGTGGTGAGTGTCGATCCTTTTCTCGCGGGTCTTTTCCAAGATTTGGCGTATTGTGAATACCTGGTCTATGGTGGATTTGCCAGGTCTAAAGCCACACTGATAAGGCCCAATCAGTTCATTGACGGTGGGCTTCAGTCTTTCACACAATACGCTCGATAAGACCTTGTAACCTATGCTTAGAAGGCTGATCCCGCGGTAGTTGGCGCGAATGGCGGGGTCACCTTTCTTGTGGATTGGGCAGAGCACACTTAAATTCCAGTCGTCGGGCATGCGTTCATCTGACCATATTCTGCATACGAGCTGATGCATGCACCTCATCAGCTCCTCGCCGCCGTACTTGAATAGCTCGGCTGGCAGGCCGTCAGCTCCAGCAGCTTTGTTGTTTTTCAGCCGCGTAATCGCTATTCGTACCTCGTCATAGTCAGGCGGTGGGACAGCTACTCCATCATCATCGACTGGGGACTCGGGTTCGTCTTCCTCACTACTTTCAGCGCTGCTACCATTCAGTAGGTTATAAAAGTGTTCCCTCCACAATTTAAGTATATTCTGGACATCGGTCACTAGGTCGCCATTGTTGTTCTTACAGGAGTTCGCCCCGGTCTTGAAACCTTCCGTAAGTCGCCTAACCCTCTGGTAGAATTTTCGGGAGTTCTTCCTGTCGGCCAGCATCTCAAGCTCTTCGCACTCACGTATTTCGGCCTCTCTCTTCTTATTGCGGCAAATACGTCTCGCTTCCTTCTTCAGTTCCCTATAACGGTCCCACATGGCTCGCGTTGCGCCCGATCGCAGCGTGGCCCTGTAGGCGGCATCTTTTTTCTCTGCGGCTTCTTGACATTCCTCATCGTACCAGTTGTTCTTTCGGGCTCGCTGAAATCCAACTACTTCTTCGGCGGCGGTACTTAATGATCGGGAAATGTGGTTCCACTGCTCGCGTACGTTGGATTGTTGAAGAGTGCTCTCAGAGAGCAGGTGTGTGAGTCGAGTGGCGAATAAATTGGCCGTCTGTTGTGATTGCAGCTTTTCGACGTTAAGCTTTCCTTGCATTGTTGGGCGCACATTTTTTGCTGCACAGAGGCGGGTGCGTATCTTGGCTACAACAAGATAGTGGTCCGAGTCGATGTTTGGCCCTCGGAGTGTACGTACGTCCAAAACGCTTGAAGCATGCCTTCCGTCTATCACAACATGATCGATTTGGTTTCTCGTTTTTCGATCTGGAGACAGCCATGTAGCTTGGTGGATGTTCTTATGCTGGAACCTAGTACTACATATTACCATATTTCGGGCCCCGGCGAAGTCGATCAGCCTCAGTCCGTTATCGGACGTTTCGTCGTGGAGGCTGAATTTTCCGACAGTGGCGCCAAAGATCCCTTCCTTGCCCACCTTGGCATTAAAATCGCCAAGCACGATTTTGACATCGTGTCGGGGGCAGCGCTCATATGTACGTTCCAAGCGCTCATAGAAGAGATCCTTGGATGCCTCATCCTTCTCTTCCGTCGGGGCATGGGCGCAGATGAGCGAGATGTTGAAGAATCTCGCTTTGATGCGGATTGTGGCTAGACGCTCGTCCACCGGGGTGAACGACAGTACTCGGCGACGGAGTCTCTCTCCCACCACAAATCCAACTCCGAATTTGCGCTCCTTTACATGGCAGCTGTAGTAGACGTCGCAAGGCCCCAGACATTGTTTGCCTTGCCCCGTCCAACGCATTTCTTGGATGGCGGTGATGTCAGCTTTTGTCCTTACGAGGACATCAACCAGCCGGGCAGAGGCACCTTCCCCATTAAGGGTCCGGACATTCCAGGTGCATGCCCTCAAATCGTAGTCCTTTAAACATTTGCCGTGGTCGTCATCATAAGGGGGGGTCTCATCCGAGGCTTTGCCTTGCTTCTTCACTGGAAGTGGTTTTTACGTGGCGGGTCCCAAGCCCAGCGCACAACCCATTGCTGGGACGGGGGTGGTTTCGCAACCAAATACACGTTTATATAGCGAGCCGCTTGCTCCAAGCAGACACCCGCTTGCAGCCGCACCTACTGGTGAACAGACGCTGCAGACTTCAGTGAGCCCTTAAACCGAATAAGTCAGAGTGGCCCCACCGAAGCTCCCTCTCTTTCTGCCGTGACCCAAGACTCCACTCGGATTGGTTACCGCATCTCGCACATGGGTTGCTCACGTTGCCCAGAGTGCGCGAACGAGAACGCAAGAGTCGGGATTGAGTATAGCCATGCAACTGTAACTGCATACCCAGCGCAACGACTATACCCCACTGCACAAACAAACAGTCAGCACATTCGCGCCTTGGCACCCACGTCACTGTGGGTTGCTCACGTTATTACCTTGTAGGCCTACTGGAAGAATAATTTCGGTAGAATTTTGTCTGTGAGTTTAACGAGGAATCCTCGCAGATTGGTTTTAAAACTATCAAGAGCACTTAAAGGTCCTGGCTTCCTATGCTCCATAATTTACTGATACACAAAGCGCTTCAGCAAGCCTCATTGCCAATTCGTATAGTGTGTGATGATTCCAGTGCTTTCGTTGGGCAGGCGCGCATGGCTCCTATAATTTGTACACAGACAGATCGGTGCTTGACTATTGGCCTCCTGGACAGTGCTTAGTACGTAATAATCGGTTTTGTCACTGTATTGAATGGCCAAAACGTCAGTTTGAGAAATCCCCCATGTTTTACTATAAAGTCTCTGACAGCCTAGTTGTTAACAGCTATAAGATGTGACTATCAGTTGACCCCTGAATGCTTCGCCGCTTCCGATAGCTCAGTCTCCGAAATTTCTCAGTCGGTTTTAAGGCTGACTGCAATATAGCGGTAATATTTTCTTCATTGCAGCCGACCATGAAGATGTGCAGGTTATAAGTAAAATCCTTTACTTTTCCAGGATCTCAAGCCTAACGCCTCCTTGTTCCGGATTCAACATGCTTATGTTCCATGCAGTTATTACACTAGGAATACCTTCTTGTCATGGCTTTGGATTTTGCTTGCATGTCAAGGAACCCTTAAAGGGCTATCAGGGGGCCAATTCCTGTTCTGTGAAAACGTGAAGTGAAAACATTTTTCATCACCTCACATAAAAATATGATTCTGTTTTCAAATGTAATAAAATTAATTTGTCAAAAATTTTTCACTGTGAAAACTTATTTACAAACTTTTGTGGCTGTGAAAAAGAAAAGTTTGGCGTTTTTCTCAAAACCATCATCTGTGATAAAGAATTTCACAAGGTGTATTAAACAAGGTGGTGTTGGGGCGACAGCTGAGTTTTTCGCCGTGGAGGCCATTACGTCAAAATGATGTGTTTGTTGTAACTCATACCAATGACAGTATGGACATCAGCGTATAATTTGTTAGTGTAATTTTTTACTTATATACGGCCAACACCACCTTGTTAAATACGCCTTGGAATATCATTTTCTTAAACTCACAATAATTTACCAAATAATTACTTGCTAGATGTTAATGGAATAGCCTTTAATGATGGAGAATCGCTTAAAATGGTATAACGAAGCGATAAAGTGAAAATATCGATATGGTACTCATTTAAAGTATCGCTTTAAAAATATCGGGTACCCATTAATATCGGAATAAAAAGACTCGATCTTCCAAATATCGATACCAAAAACCAAAAAATTTATCTGAATATAGGTCTCGCATATAGGTCGCTGGGGTGTAGTGGTTAGAAGTGCGCAAACCTTGAAAATGAAAAACAGCTTCCCATAAAATACAGTCGCCGTTCAGAGTCGACATAAAACTGTAGGCACCCCCTTTGTGCCACAACATTAAGGCCCACGCGACAAATCGGAGGAGAAGTTCGGCCAAACACTAACATATTGTGTAAGCGCCGGACTTCATTATTATTACAACACGTAGAGATTGAGGTGTTGACTTAAACACCGAGGCCGCGGGTTCAAATCCCACCACATGCAATCCTAACCATAGTAAAAATTTCTGCACTTTATAGCCCAATTTATATCGGGAAGAATTGTTACAGGCCAACCTTATATGCGTGCGTAAAAAGCTAACTCAAATTCCAAGATTTGTCTTGCGTGACATTTCGATTTGACGTTTATGCTCAATTGGCATTTTGGCGCGACTATGAGTTCAAATTTTTCTCAGCAAACTTCTGTAAATTTGACAGAAATGCAACTCTGAGAAATTACGCACGCAAATTGATTTGGACTTATCAAATGAGAACAACTTGCGTGCGTGAGTAGAAAAACTCTCGCCGGTAATATTAGGTTGAGCTGTTAATACCATTATCCTTCACTGAGAAAAAAAACGCGTTGTAAGAATAAATTTTTTTTATTTGATTACCGTTTAAAAATGCTCGTATTTAAATCAAGTGAAAAGTCTTAACAAAATGGATTTTTCCATTATACATAC